TCTGGAAATTGGGGTGGGGGGCATAATCTGAAGACTTATAAATATCTCTTAACAAAGCCCCAGCTGAGCTGTGTCAGGGTTGTACACTTTCTTCATCTTTCCCTTACAGCTTTTCAATTTGCTTTCCAAACATTTCTTTGTAGCCGTTGGCTGGGGTGCACTTAAAAGCAGCACATAGTTAACCACAAAGAATGCTCACTGTTTTCTGTGATTTCAAATCACAGCACAATTTCCAAGCACTTCCTCAGCGAACAGCCCAGCAGCAGTTACCCTGCTGCTGAAGACTTACTTCTCATCAGAGAAATGTTTCAGTTTTAGAGACAGCCCAGGAGCAAGGCTGTGACAAATGATGACATATGTTTCAGCCTCCATTCACTAGCGATTTCTACCCCCAAAGGAAGAGTGAATCAATTTTTGTGCCAATTCAACGAGCACATCCCACAATGCTGCCCTCTTCTCTAACTCACACAAACTAGGCATTCATCAACCCGGATTACTTGCCTCAAATGGGGACTCACAGTTGCTAAGTGGCTGGGTTGGGGGTGGGATTGCACTGTGTCAAAAAGGGGCAAAGTACAAGAAAAGGACATGAATCCATCAGGGAAGTGAGAGTTAATTCATTGAGACAAAATAGTGAGGTTTTCAAAAGCCAATGCAAGAGGAAAGACTGCTTCCCACCCCCACCCCTGACAATCCTGTGAAAGACAGTGCAGAAATGACCTCGGCAGCATCCCAGGGGTCATGTTACCCCAAGGGGGTGCGGCTCCACGACAGTGTATCTGATAGATTATACTGAGACCCGCTTCACTTTGCAACCACATTTCTCTTTTCTTTCCCATTTAATCGGACCTAGTTGTACACCATTTGAGGAACTGTCTCCAGACTGGGTCCTAGGGTTAGAAAATGGGCAGGGCAAATTTCCATAAAGCTCATCTCTGGGTATAGTTTTAAGGGTGGACGAACCTATTGCCTTGAGGCAAGGAAATTAGAAGTTGATTTTTTTCACTCCAGAAGCCTACAAGCCAATGTCACACTGCCCTCTGGAGGTATTCTCATTGGGTCCAACTCTGAACTAGTCATTGGCAACCACTGAAAAATGTGGAGTTGTAGAGCGTCGGTAGTCTTTACTAGCAAGGGAGTGTGGAGGAGGAGAACTAACTGTTCACTAACTCCATGTGAGTGGTGTGAGAGAGTGTGTATAAAAGGGAAGAAGATGAATAAGTAAATATTGCCTCCTGATCTCAGTAGTATCGAGAGAGTGTATGCATGTAGACATGTACTCAAAGGTGGTGGTAGGAAGGAGACTGTGACAAGTCAGTGGGGATGGGTGTGAAAGCAAGTGTTTTGCAAAGATGGCCACAGTCATATATTCCATTCCCCTGTGACCTCCTTATGATGTGATCCTGAGGCGCAGTCTATGTTCCCTCTTGAATCCAGTGAGATGTGACTACAATGAAGATGACTCAAAGGCTAAGTTATAAATGGCTGCTATCCAGTTTCTACCTGGGCCCCTTCAGATGTTCACTACGTGGACCCGGCCACTCAGCTGTGGGGAAGCTGAGTGGCAACATGGAGTGGCCACACTGCCACCACAGGACCAGCTGAGGTCCCCAGCCAAGAGCTGACAGCAGATGCCAGTCAGGCAAGTGATCGAGGGAGCCTTCCAATGATTCCAACCACTCACCTTGGAGTTGACATCAAGTGAAGCAGACATCTGTCCCCACTTAGCCCCTCCTCGGATTGCAGATTTGTGAGCAAACTAAGTGTCACTGTAGCAAGTGACTATGTTTTGGGGTGTTGTGTTATACAATAGATTAAAAAAATTGGTCAAGGTCCCCTCTGGCACTGGGCATTTCTTTGCACAGAATAAGCCAGGCCTGAAGAGAAATGGAACCTGCCTCTCTGCCTTTCATAATCTGGGTTGATTCTTCACTAACCTTAGCTTTTTCCCTCTTGGCCCCAGATTAATTTGTCCATGGGCTCTTATCTCCATTAAAATTTTGTGTATATATGTGCTCTACATGGTGCTTTGTACAAACTTGAATTGTGGCCACTATTTCATAATCAGATTTTATTTACACACATCTAAATTTCCATCTTCTCTCAAAAACTCAAAAAAAGCAAAAACAAAAACAAAAGATCTGCCAATACCTGATTTGCATTCCCACACAACAGTAACTCAGTCACAAGAACTCTTTTTTCCTCCATCCTCTCTACTGTCTATTGCATTGCACCAAGACCATCACTCTTTTATCCTTGCTGTCTGACCTCTATGGGCATTTGGGTTTGTGGCATCTATTTTAACCAACAATTCTCTACCGGTTGGCTGGAATATATTCTCACACAGTTATCCAGGAGTTAATATCCTATTGAAACAAAAGGTTTAAGATAACCAGAAAAATAGAAGTCAGAATAATGACAGAAAAAATATCTGAAGGTCAAGTTTTTAAAAATTAAGAAAGGAGGACATAACATATATATAAAAAAAAAGCCACAAGGGGATGTGACCCATATGTCAATGTAGGGTATTATCAGGCAGCCTGATGCCATCTCCAACCATTAGCAGCTGCACATACCTGGATGCCCCAGAAGCCAATGCTTTGTCTTGCAAAGTTCATTCTCACTGGGAGTAAGGTTACATCAAATCCAAAGTCTACTAATTGAATCACATACACTGTTTAAGAACCCTATTCACCTTTTGGTATAGTTGCTCAGGATATCCTTATCACACCACTGTGTGAAGACTCTCAAATTAATAGTTTCTAGAGAGAAGATTCAATTTCAAGTTTTGGAAAATCACCTAGCCTGGATGACCCAGATGGAGCTGATACATTTCTTTTTATTTTTAGTGTTTGGTGTCTTTCTTTTTATTAAAGAGGTTTTCAGTCAATTTTCTTTCCATATTACTGATTAGCATAATTTTTAGTGTATTTTATATGTCCTAGAATGAGTAGGATTAAGGAAAGGGAACAGTAAAGGATGTCAGTCCACTAAGAAAATAATTATCATTTATGGATAAAAATAAGGATTTTATTTCCTGAGAAATAAAAATGGAGGGGAAAATCCTATTTCTTGCTCATTAAATATATTGGGAAAGGGACCATTTCTAAAGTTTATCTCATAGTGATTGATAGGTATTCACTGATTACTCTGAGAAAATTTCTATGGCTCAAAGTCAGTCCAGAGAGCACTTCGTTAATTTTTATGCAGTCTTTCTGAAGAACCACCAGCAGTGTGAAAACACTGTAGTTTAACAAAGTCTGTTTTTCTGGTGGGCCAATTATGGCATGTTGAAACAGGACTCTACTCTTCCTTTTTCATTTGATATCAAATTGGATGGGCTTTCTAGAAATATTACTTTTGGGGGGGAAACAATATCAAGTTATCTTTTAAAGTATATCCTATTTTATGATATTACCATAGAAAGATTTTCCATGTCTCTTTCAACAAAACATGCAAGGATAGTTAAGGGGCATATTACCTTTCCCACCTTGAACAAACAAACAAACAAACAAAAAGACTTGGCTCAATTAGGTATTTAAATAAGGTATTTTCTTCTTCATTATCAGAAGAGAGTTAAGTTATTCAGCTAGTGAGGCCTGTGTCTGGGATCAAATTCTTGGTTTACAAATTTAATGTCTGAAATGCTGCCGCAGGAGGATATTTATACATCAATGACTTCAACAAAGCACAATCCTCATAAAATTTAATTTTATTGGAGTTGTAGAATACTTATTTTGGGAGAAAAGGATGAATTTATGAAAAAAACAGACAACAGGATCGTTTTGAAGTTTTTATTACTGTCATTTTCTTTATCTCTAGCCAGAGTTAATAGCTCAGTGCCAGAATTAGGGTTAAAATTTGATGGCATCTCAGCCAGAAAGTTGTGGAAATCAAACTGAGAAGTCAGGAATAAAATTACTGACAAAGGCACTTTGGTATCCATCCGGTGCATTGATTTTAATATCATCAAAACCTTAACCCAATGCCAGAACAGCAAGGAGTTTTCATATGGAAGCAGAGACTTTTAGCAAAGAGCAGTATTCCGGGATGAACTTTTTATAAGTAACAGAGTATATTCACCACGATGTTATGGAACTGTGGAAAAGTGTCCAAATGTTGTCAAGATCAAATAAACAAAGATGTCCAGAAAACCTAACCACCTTGTCATTCTGGTTTTCTCACAATTTTTCCCCCCTCCTATTCATAAAGATATCTATGAACAGGCAATGTATCTACTCCGACTCTTTCAAGGCAAAACGGCAGCTGTCAAATTAACTTTGTTAGCTATTAAAATAAGTGAAAAGTTCTCCACTTCATAGAGGATTTTGCCTGGGGAACTGTACGTTGTGCAGGTCTCTGAATGGGCATCCTAACGGGCTCCCAGAATAGCAAAGCTCCTAAATGATACTTGGGGACCTTTCATTCATCTCTCAGGTGAGGCAGCTGCCCTCAGCTCCGTGCCTGGGGGCTCCAGAATAGCTATGATTTGTAAGTTCTGGGATCCTTGTCCTAGACAGCAAGACAGCAGAGTGCTTAAAGCTCACAGGTCCCCTCAACCCCGACAGCAGTCCCGTTAGGTCCCCAAAGGGTCGTTCTCCTTTCCCAGGAGGGATGAATGGGGATGCGTGGCAGGTGTGTATGTGGGGGAATCTAGTAAGTGGGACGCTGGGGACAAGAAAGTGTTCAGAGACGGAAAGCTGCCCGAGGTCACCCGTGCTCAGCTTACCCGGGCGAAAACTCGGGGCCGGGCGGTGGAAGCGGAGAGCCCAGCCGCCCGCGCCTTTGGCTCCGGGGGTGCGGGAGCCGACCACCAAGGGGAGCGCGTGCGGGGTGCGGGCTGCAGGGCTGCCGGGGGGCGGGGGGGGGAGCGACGGCTTCCAGCCTCGGCCGCGGAGGACAGCCGCTGGCCCCGGGGGCGCCTGCACTCGCGTCTGCTCCGAGGGCGGGAGACGGGACGGGGCTCGGCGCGGCGGGCTCCAGAAGGGGAACGCGCTTACCTGCAGATAGGGCCGCCCGCGGGCCACGCCGCCCACGACGATGTCCGCCGCGGCCATGGCCCCGGTGGGCGAGAAGCCGAAGCCCACGTAGCCGGCGGTGCGCACCTCGAGGCGAAAGGCGAGCCGGCCGCCCCGTGGGCCCCAGCTCAGCCAGTATTTGCCCTCGGAGTCGAGGAGGGTGCGGTGCGGGAGGGCCCGGCCCAAGCCCCCCGCCGCCGCGCCGGGGAGCAGCCCCCAAAGCAGGAGCAGCGGCCAGCCGCACATCCTCGGGCGCCTCCTGCCCGCCGGCACCTGGGTCGCGCCGACAGGCAGAGCGAGGACGCGGCTCGAGGGGCGGCGGCGGCGCGCGGGAGGCCTGGGCCCGCCCCCTCGGCCCGCCCGCGGGGAGGGGCCCCAGCCGCTCCCGCTCCCGCTCCCGCTCCCCTCGCAGCCGCTGGCGACCCTCGCTCGGCGCGTCGGGCTTCCCGCGCATCCACCTGCGGCCCCGCACCCTGGCCCGGTCCCCGAGGTCTGGGCTCGGTGGGGAGGCAAGAGAGCGACGTCCTGGGTGCAGGAGGCAGAAGCCGAGAAGAGGGGGCTGGGGCCGAGGGGAAAGGAGTGAGCCCTCTAGTTCTGGGAGCACGTGGGCGCTTGTTGGGGCGGAGGACGGCGCGGGAGTGAGTGAGTCCCTGGGGAAAGGAGAAACTGAGGACAGAGGGCAAGTTTAGCCTAGCCGAGAAGGGGAGGAGTTGAGTGATCAGAAGGGATAATCCTGGGTTTGGGTGGAGGGACAGTGAGATAAAGTACCAGTCAGGGCCACTGTTTAACACTTCCCTATCCATTGCAGTTGACTTTCTGAAGCCAATGTACCCGGCGATCCCCCTAGCCCACGGAGGGACACCATTCATCTCCTCCAGGACATTTCTCCCACCCTTTCACCCTGTGGGAGTCCCAGGGCTGGGAAGGGCTCGCTCCCGATGGCAGGAGTCAGCGCCCTGGTGCCTGCCTTCCTCCTGGGTTTGGTTTGGTTTGGTTTTGAGGGGACAAGTACTGCCAAACTACTTTGTCATCGTCGTAGGTCAGGGTTAAAGCATCATTTGGAAGTTAGATTAAATCTGAAATCGTCTTTTCCTGGTATGTCAAGCTCTGACCACAGTCACGTTTAGCAAAAAATGTTTTAGCAAAAAGTGTTTTTGACCACATCACTCCTGTCTTCAGAACACTACTCAATGTGGCAAATTACCTTCTTTATTTATTTAGTCATGTATTTATATTCTGCCATGTTAAAAAAAAAAAAAATCTAAGGTGGCTTACAAACATACAAACAACACAAAATAGAAAACTAATAGACGATATCAATTGAAAAGATAGAGGTAAGAAGAATACTACAAATATGTACTAATACTCTGGGTTTGGAAGCTCCATACAAGCCACTCTTTCTACAAGTCATAGTTCAGCTTGCTTTTTCTTCCTCCTACTATTTTCTCTTTCCATTTCTTTTCCCAGAACTTTTCTAAAGTTACCAGCCTGCATCAAAACTTTGTTCTTCCAAAGATTCAAGCACATGTCACCATGTCTGGAAGGCAAGCTTCAAGTGGATCTGCTGACCAGGGAGTTCCAGGGTAGCCTGAGAAGGGACCCATCCCAAGGAGAGAAGGGATGGAGGTCTGCAGGTTTAGCCAATGACAAGAGGCCAGCATCAGAGAAGAGGGCTGTTGAAACTGTGGGACAAGGCAAGAAAGAGCTGAGTTTCTACAAGCACTGGGGCCGTGGCTACTGCTGCTGGCTCCAGCCATAAAGAGGAGAGGAATGAGGAGAGAGAGGAACAAAATGGTGGACAATGGAGGCCAAGAGGAATGGGTCTTGGCACCATGTGAGGCACACTCACCACATTGGGCAGGATTTTAGGGGAGCCCAATTATTCCAGAGCAATCAAAAGCAAACTTCCTGATTTGTGACCCTACTTTTATTCCTAGCATGGAAGAGCCTGGAACGCATAGCTCTATCTGCTTCCTAAGGTTGGTTCTATGAGCCCTAAATTCACATCTAGAACCTGCCCCCCATTTAATGTTCTAGCTCCACCTTCCATCACTCTCACCTCACTCACCCCATGCCCTCTAGACACATGAAAACTGCCTGTAGAATTTTCAGAAGAGAGCCCTGCTGTCTCACATCACTGTGCCTTTTCAGATTGCTCACTCGGCCACATTTGCCTTTTCTCCCCTCTGAAGTATTTTCTGATCCTTCCTCCTGTACTTCTGCAGAGATGACACTGGCCCCTCCACAGTGGTGTTCATGAAATGTTCCATCCAGACCTCATGATTGCAGCGTTAACACTTCAGTGTCTGTTGATATGCTGGTTTTCCCCCATTAGCCTCTCTAGATCAGGAACTGCTTCTGGTTCCTGGTTGTAAATGCATTGCCTAGAGTATGGACCAGCATGCAGTAGGTGTTTAATAAATATTCATAGAAAAAGTGAATAGATGCATTTACAGATCCTCCTGGAAGCATCCTCTTTATGAAGTTGGACAATGGGGAGAAAGCTTGGCCCCCAGATATGTTGAAAGTTCTGCTCTGCATTAGTATTGAAGCAAAAATAGAAAAGAAGACCACACATGGATACACAAAAGAGAAAGTCTTAAATGGTTTTTATTATTTCATTAAGTAAAATCATTGAATGTGAAGTTATTGTCTTTTGTTTGTCTGTAATTGGCATTGTATCTAAAACACCCTGAGTGCTCAAGAAATATTAAAACTAATAAAATCATCTTGACATTAGGTCAATAAACAGAACATTATCAGCAGAATTCATATGCAAGAGACCCACTCTGCTTTGGTTTAAATTATCCCCGTAAATGAAGACAAAAGAGAAAATTTTATGTAAGTGTGGTTCATAAGCTGACTGAGTTCCCCAGATCAACACCAAGTGCCTACTCAATTGCACAGAGGACTCACTTTCCCAATTTGGAAATTAATTACTGTATGGTGGCTTGTCTTAAATTTGTAAGGAAAACAAGAAGAAAGCATAGGTCCATTAAAAACTCGGGCTATATGGCAGAGAGGAGAATGAAATCAGTGGTAAGAGGTTTCAATTTTATTATTTTTCAAACTATTGTTTTTGTAAAAATGATACTTGCTCCTTTGTTAAAGAAAAAAAGTCAGGAACTGCAGGGAAGTATGACTAAGAAAGTAAACTAAAAAGATCACCTGAAATTCCACCATCCAAAAATAACACTTGTATGCATTCTGAGAACATCATTCCAGAACTTAGTCCCATTAAAAGCTTGGAAGAACAGCCTGTGGGACAAGAATTTGCAAAGAAACAGGTGAATTAATTTTGGAAGACTCCACTTGAAACAAACAGACTCTAAACATGCCAGTTACAATCCCATTTTTTAGGTTTCTTCTCACCACATGTATCCAAAAAAGAAACAGAACAGACAAAACTAAAGATTCAGCAAGGTCGCAAGGTCTTACTCAAGTACAGAACATTCAACCAAATTACTCATTCTTAAAATGAATCATTTTCTCACACTTTTCAATCAGGAATTTTAAATGTAATGTTTATTTTGAATCCTCACCCATTCTGATACACAGCTTGAGCTCAACCAGTGTGACTACCCCCACGCTGAGCTTCCTCACCTTCCTACCCTCTGCTGTGAAGATTTATTTATATTTCCACATTCATCAGCTGCAAGGGTGGGGAGGAGAAAGGAAAAAGGAAAGCCCAAAGGACACTAACAAACCAATGCAAAGTTGCTTGGCATGACTGGAATTGTCTGAAATAGGTTATTTCTTATGTAAATAGAGGAGTATTGTAATTTTCCTGTCTGCTTGTACCTAAGGTGCAACAATAATACTAAATATTTATAAAGTTCCTGTCTTCTAGGGAGCTCAAAGAAAAATATTTATGTAAGTGATCTCAGCAGTTGTCCAACATTCAAATAGGGAAGCTGAAGCATTTTCTCACTGTTGTGTGAATAGGCTTAGTTAGCAGAGGAAAGTTGGTCACTGGTTCAAGTTAATACTATGAGTCAGTGGCAGAAAATCCAAAAATAGAACTTTGGTTTCTTCCTTCCTTCCTTCTTTTCTTTCCCCTTCCCTCCCCTCCCCTCTCTTCTCCTCTCCTCTCCTTCCTTTCTTCCTTCCTTCCTTTCTTCTTTCTTTCTTTCTTTCTTTCTTTCTTTCTTTCTTTCTTTCTTTCTTTCTTTCTTTCTTTCTTTCTTTCTTTTCTTTCTTTCTTTCCTCCCTCCCTCCCTCCCTCTCTTTCTTTCTTTCTTTCTTTCTTTCTTTCTTTCTTTCTTTCTTTCTTTCTTCTTTCTTTATCTCCTCCCTCCCTCCTTCCCTCCTTTCTTCCTTCCTTCCTGTTTTCCTTTTACTTCCATATTTTCTCCATTGTTTTCCTCCATTAGCCTGTCTAGATCAGGAACCGCTTCTGGTTCCTGGTTGTAAATGCATTGCCTAGAGTATGGACCAGCATGCAGTAGGTGCTTAATAAATATTTGTAGAAAACATTTATTACCTCACCTTCAATAAAAAGTAATATTTTTTCTTTTTTTTTTAAAGATTCATTTATTTATTTGAGAGAGAGAGTGCGTGAGAGAGTTGGGGGGGTGGGGCAGAGGGAGAGAATCTCAAACAGGCTCCACACCCAGGGTGGGAGCTGGACTCGGGGCTCCATCTCATAACCCAGATCATGACCTGAGCTGAAATCAAGAGTTGGATGCTTAACTGACTGAGCCACACAGGCGCCCCCCAAAATAATAATTTTTAAAGTCACCAGGTCATCACTATGACACTTTCTTCCAGCAGAGCTGGTATTTTTCATATAAGCAAGATGCTATGACCACTATTAGCCCAATGATATACTCCTCATTGTAGTAATGGGAGAAAGTAATGATGACTGTAGGTGAATGGAGAAGGTGAGGCTACAGTGCATTTACTTTTATTATCAGGAGCCTGAGATGGGCTTAACTGACTTCTTGAGGCTGCTTTGCAATGGAGGGCCAGTTGGCGTTGGAAATCACTCTTAGGCTCTTACATATGAAAATAAAAATAACAACAGGCAAACCATTTTCTCTGTTGCAAAACCTACACTTGGGCATTATCTATAAACTATGCTCTGAAATAAAATTGTTTCAACTAAAAACAGTCTGTGGAAGAAAAAAAGTAATGTTCTTTTTTTTATCACTAATGACCGTCTGTTAGAATTTCCCTTTACAGGGTAACCGTGATGTCTATCAATAACATGGTAGGGAAGAAACTGATTTATACTAGTATTTAGCCTATATTACTATAAAGTCATGCTTAAAAAGTTGTTTGGGTATTGATGAGAGCAATAGGCCCTGGAATTTTGCCGTTCATCAGAATGATCTATAGCTTATCGAAAATAACCATGTCCTCACACTTTGACAAACTGCCCTTCTGTGGGGCTGAACCGACATTAGCTGTCAGTGATTGCGGGAGGAGAAATGAGGGGTGATAAAATGTGCTGAGTTAATCCTAGGAATGTCAGTTTGGGAAGGAACCTGGTCAGTACTCTCATCCTGTAGCTGGAGAAAGTAAGTCCTAGAGAGAAGCAAATTGTTCATAGTTACAACGTTTTACTAGGTACGAGCAGGATGGTTGGGTGCCTGGCACA